ACGATTTCGTTATCATGCGAGACGGAAAATTCTCGGTATCCAAGTCTTCCGTTCCGAGAAGCATGCTGCACTGAGTCAGAAAGCCTACATTCAAAAGCTGTGGACCCTGGCCACCGACATCCAAAGGAGGAGATCCCGCTGCTCAATAATCAACAGTACGCCAGCTTGATTGGTGGGTTGTTGTACGTGACTATGTGTACTCGACCTGATGTTGCAGCAGCTGTTGCGATCCTGGGGAGAAAAACAAGTGAAGCGTATCCTGTGGTACCTGAAAGGAACCATCGACCACGAACTAATCCTTGAAGCCGATTCCACGCAATTGGAGCTGTGAACCTGATCCTAGAGCTCTGAAGTGTTTGAAAAAAAAAACACTAGGGTCGTGACATTAACATGGACCTGGATGGCCATGGGCCCGTCCTCGGGTGGATCCGGAACATCAGTAAATCAATTCATGAAACTGATCCTAAAGCTCCGCGGTTTTTCGAAAACACTTGGAACTGTCATATATAAATTAATTTGGGGTCGTAGCATAAACATGTACCTAGAAGGCCATGGGACCGTCCGTCGGAAGATCTGGAACATCCTTAAAAATGATCAATCCACGAAACTGATTCTAGAGTTCCACGGTTTTTTCAAACGCATTTGGAACTGTGATATAATAAAGAATTTGGGGTCATGACATAAAAATGTACCTAAATGGCCAAGGGGTAGTTTCAGAACATCCGTTAAAGAGGTCAATCCATAAAACTGATCCTTCTCAGTTTTTCTCAGAAACATTAGGAACTGTGATATTGGAATGAATTGTGGGTCGTGACATAAACATGGACACGAAAGACCATGTAACCGCAGTATTCTAACACCGACCGGACGAGGGAGCAGTAAAGCGACTTCAAACAGTAGATGTCCGCGAAACTTTTAGCTATCCTGAAAATGAAGCCGAGCGTTCTGGATGCCTTGTCGATCACGTACGAGACATGCTGACAGTGATGTGAGTCATCTTCCCAGATCCCTTAATGTGATTCCCACGATGTACGTCGACGTCTTCTAGGATATAACTGAATGTTTCTTCCGTGAGAACGTGATTACTGAACATTTTGTTGGATTTACAACCATGCGGTTCAGTTGGCACCAATTAACAGAAGCGTTGAGTTAGAGTTGGAGAAGGTGGCAGTCAGCGATGGCTCAGATTCGGAGATAGATTTTCATGTCGTCTGCGAACAACAGTCGTGGACCGTCGAGGACGAAATTGACGTCGTTGAAATATAGAAGAAATATCAACGGGCCGAGGTGGCTACCTTGCGGAATACCCGAAGTGGCAGGGAACGAAGGAGATCGGCAGTCGTCAATTGCAACTTCCCACTGACGATCAGATAGATAGGATGCGAACCATCGTAGGAGACTGCCGTTTATACCGAGCCTATTCAGTTTGGTGATCGTTATAGGATGGTTCAACTTGTCAAAGGCGGCTGATAGGTCAGTGTAGATGACATCTGTTTGCATATGGTCTGTCATACTCTCCGTAATGTACGAGGTAAGACACAGAAGGTTGGAAGTAGTCGACCGCCCTGCCATGAAAACTTCGCTCAAGTGCTGCTTGAAGTGAGAGACTAATGGTTCCAACAACTCGAAGAGTTAAGATATGGCACACAACGATGTGATGCCGCGATAGTTGTCGATGTTTCTTGCATTCGACCTCGTCCACACGGATCTATGCGGACCGATGAACACACCAACGCCAGGTGGTTGTCGGTACTTCATGGCGATTACCGATGACTTCACGCGGTACTCGCTGGTGCAATTGATTACATCAAGCAATAAGTGCAGGAGATGAAGACAACGTTCGGCAGGTCACCGAAAGTAATTCGATCGGACCAAGGTGGTAAGTTCAAGAACCAGCAGCTGAAGAATTTTTGTCGCCAAGAGGGCATTCGGCAGCAGTTTAGTACCAGCCACACGCCCCAGTAGAACGGAGTAGCTGAAAGGAAAAATCGTTCGTTAGTTGAGACGGGAAGGTGCATGCTGCTTGATGCCAGAACGCCAAAGCAATACTGGGCCCAAGCAGTAAACACAGCGTGTTACCTCCAGAACCGTTTGCCGGAAACGCCATACGAACTGTGGAAACCAGACGTCACCCATCTTCGATTGTTCGAATCACAAGCCTTCGTGTGGGTCCCAAAAGAGAAGCGTACGAAATTGGTCCCAAAGTCGACGAAAATGACCTTCGTCGGTTATTGGCAGCAGCACAAGGGCTACAGTTTCCTGGATCTAGCGACGAACAAGCTCGTCGTACCTCGAGATGCCAGGTTCATTCCAGCAGATGAGGTTCGGGAAACCGAACCTCACGAGGGAAGTATCGTTTTTTATCCTTTCAAACCTATTTCCGTTGAGGATGATGAGAAACCCGTTGTTACAGCCGATAAATTCGAGTTGGAGCTTTCGGAATCCGATAAAGACGATTTCGAAGGGTTTTCTGATGAATCCTTCAGCGCCGGAGAGGATTTTGACACTGCCACCGAGGACGAAGCGGAGGATGTACGACGGTCCAGCCGTAAAAACAAAGGTGTGTTACCGTTGCGGTATCAAGAAACCACCCACCTAGTGTCCAATCAGCACGATGAACCCCGTACCTATGATGAAGCTATACGCAGCCAGGAACGCCACGAGTGGAAGAAGGCAATGGATGAGGAATTCGCAATCCTTCAAGAAAACTCGACATGGGAGATCGTGAAGCTGCCATCGAAACAAAAACCAGTCGGATGCAAATGGATCTTCAAGAAGAAGCTGGATGAGTCTGGCCAAGTGATCCGCTACAAAGCACGACTCGTAGCACAGGGCTACAGTCAGAAGTTCGGCACCGACTACGGCGAGGTTTTTGCTCCAGTAGTCAAACAAACTACGCTTCGATCCCTGCAAGTCAAGCACATCGATGTGAAGTCAGCATACTTGCACGGAGACCTCACCGAGACCATTTACATGAAGCAACCAATGGGCTATCAAGTAGGATCTGAAAGAGAAAAGTTATTTCTTATGTTCGAAAATCCCCGTTCTGTCGATCGACCGGTTTTCGAGCCACGGTCGTCAAAATTTAACTTCTTGTCTGTCAGAAATAACCACGCTCGGATAGCAGGGTTTCGCACTGGTTTGGAACTGGTTCCAACCCCGATAATAAACGAATTCGCTATTAGCAACGTGAAGAGCTGCAGTGCAGAAATAATATAGGTCTAAGTTAGCCATGAGTTATTTGAATAAAATTCGTTCTTCTTTTGTCGTCGCTCTTACGGACTAGACGCTATTTTACTTTGCTCCATTCCTCCCAAGATCTTTTGCATCCCTTCTTATGCACTGGAAACATCCCAGCTGATTACCAGCAGGAAGGAAACACCCCACTGGAGAGGGACATTTCGAACAGAAGGCAGAGAGGAGCCACCAGACTATCGATGTGTTGCTTGAGAAAGACGGAAGGAACTTCGTAAGGTCCAGGCTTAAATGAAGACTTCAGTTGCGAACTCGCCCTAGTTATCATAGCGCGATCGATGTTGATAGCTGCCAAAGATTGACCAGACTTTGGAACATTACTGGCTGCTAGAGAAACGTGCTCGTCAGGTAGGTTCTCATCCGAGAATACACTCGCAAACTTGGTTGAGAACAGACGGCAAATGTCCTGAGGGGATGAAGCTTCTTCGCCGTCCAGTACCATAGTTGATGGAAGACCAGACTCCTTTCCTTTTGCTCATTCACATAATTCCAAAAAGTTTCCGGGTGAGATCGAAGCTTCCGTTGAACATTTCGTTGATAACATTGGCGTCTGGTTCGTTGATACGCATAATTGATCCTTGAGTTGTAGGGTGTGGTACTTGGTGTATTTTCTTAGCGCGGATATTTTGGAAGACTTTAACATACGGAGTTCACTTGTTTGCCAAGGATGATGATTACCTTGTTTAGGAACTTTTTTCGGAACGTGTCGCTCAATGACGTAAGCCAAAATATGCGAGAGCGTTTGGGCAGGCACGGTAATCGGAAATCGTAGGAGACCTCTAGGGGGGTGGAATGACCTCAGGAATTTCGTTGCCTTCAAGTGCAATAACTAAAGGAGGATGGATTGGACCAGTCTTTATCAACGGATGAACAGCCATAGACAAGTGCGGAGCAGTATCCTGAGCGGTGACGACGAAGCAAAGGTCTAAACTACGATGGTCCACATTAACCACGTGGTTGATTTGATTCAGAGTGGCGCTACTGTAACGATCCAAAAGGCTTACAGCTCCAGAGTAAAATGTAGAACGGTCGTGGTCCGGATACAGGAATTCACCGTAAGATGATCGCCAAGAAATTACCGAAGTCGCCAATGATTATCATCTCGTCAGCAGCTGTAGCGATCTCCATTATAGCTCGAATAGACTGACTGTGGGATTCAATTAGCGTAGAGTCGCGGGTTCGATCCGGAGGAAAGTAAACCACACACAAAAACAAAGTGCGGTCAGCGAGCTTAATGGCAATCCAAACTTGTTCCACACAATTCCATGAATCGTTTTCGATAACATTTGCCTTCAATCCAGAGCCGACCGCTATGAGAGCGCCTCCACCAGTAGATTTGCGGCTGTTGTGCGGATTCCGATCGCATCGAAAAACCTCGTATTCGGAACCAAACACTTGATTTGACAATGATCGAGTATCGAGCCAAGTCTCAGTGAGAGCGATGACGTCGAAGCAACGATGGGGCGTTCTGGTGACAATCATGTCTGTCATAAGTAGTTCCCCCGCCGGCGTCTCCATTGCCATTCGAGTTTTTCAGGAATGCGTTGTTCGTGCCTTGTTCCGACTAGATTTTTTCATCACACCGAAGCAGTTAGTTGTATCCGTCTCTATAAAAATACGACCGAGGAAATGGAAGACTCATCGCCAATTTGAACATCATTTCCCAGGGGGACATTTCTCTAGTAACAAAAACTGACGCTTCATCGGTTAGTAGGTCCTACCGTGGATTTACAAAATCGTGGTTTCTTATTAAAAAAAAACAATGACGTACAAAGATATGAGTAATGAGTTAAAAAAAGTATTCCATGTAAAAAATTGTGTATCAAAAACAATCTCCTCGAAGGATTAAAATTCTTACCTAAACTGATTCACTGATTGTAAAAAGTATACAGTAGGAAAAAAAAACTGACTAAATGCCAAACACAAACTACAGATCGAAAATATACCTTCCTAATTGGGAAGAATCCCTCGATGATCGTGCTTTCACGCTTTACACTGGCTGCTGAACGGTTGGCTTCTCGATCACCAACTGATACCGGTTCACTTGGTCGCACATGCTGTTGAACTCGCTGACATAGTTTTTGAATTCGGCACTCTGAAAACGACAAACCGGTCAAAAACTCTCAAACTGTGACCTCTTACTATCATCGCCTAATAGCTAGTTACCTGTTCAACGGTTTTCTTCTTCCTCTTTTGCGTTGGAGCACGTTGCTTCTTGGCCTTCTTGCGTTTCTTTCCCTTGTCCTGTTCCGTCCAATCGTCCGAGTCGGCTGCTTCGGGGTCCGGTTCTTCCTCCTCGTCGTCGTCACTGATACCCAGATTGACCAGGTAGATGTTCGGTTTGCGCTTCAAGTTCCTCCGTGGAACGCGGCTGTACGTTCGGCTCTGCGATTGTTGGGAAAAAAATGTAAACTAAAGAGTCTCGTTCGCAGAGGAAAAATAAAAGCCCACTTACCACATTAGCCAGTTCCGGTTCGTCGAACAAAGCTGCCGGTGGGCTCTCCTGTCTCCTCGGTGCGCCAGCAGCTTTCTTCGCCTGTTCCACCTCCATCGTAGGATCAGTAGACGTCCTAATGGCCGAAATGTTAGGATCTTGCTCCCCCCGTCCCTTCGGCTGATTCCGCTTCTCGGCCAAGGGCGTCGAAGCACTGAAAGCATTTTGAATCGACTGCACCTTCTTCCGTTGGGGACTGTTGAAGATCCTAGGTGCGTGCTGCTGCGACCGTTGCTGAATGGTGGGAGATTTGGACGCCGATCCGAATCGACCTGGTGTTGGAAGCAGCTTCCGTACGCTCTGCAATCGTTCCTTGAGCGTTTCGCGGGTAATCTTCATCGGCGTTGGTTCCACCGGAGGAACTCCACCAGACGCTTCTTCCTCTTGCTCGTCATCCGTTTCGAAACCGAACAGATCTTTTTCTGGTTGCTGTTTGGTCACCTCGTTGATCGCCGGATGATCTTCCACCACTGTATCGGCTATTTCTATTACACTCTTCTTCGCTGCCGCTGGCACAGCGGCCAACCTTTCCGTTTCGATAGGAACGGGACTTGGCTTGATCAGACTCAGCTTGCTGAAACGATCCCTGCTCTTGGATTGTAGCATTGTTCGATTGCCGGAAAACGAAGTGAACGACGCCTTCACCAGCGGTGAGTTGATCGGAGAGAACCTCGGTGGTACATTCGTAATATCCAGCGTCTTCAGGGGACTTCGGTTACGATCGTTTCGATTCCTCTCGGTGAGGATGATATCCTTGAACGGCGGACGCCCGCGGATTTCCACCGGTTTCGAAGGGGAAATGTTTTCGATATTGGAATCGTTCATGGCCGATTCCAGGTCGTTGATCATCGTCACAAATCGTTCCGAATTACGGCGGAAATTTTCCACCACTGCCAGCTGGGCCGGGGTCTTCGGAACGGACGAAGTTTGCTCGATCGCCTTCATCGAGTCTGCTAAGGTCCGCTGTGATCGCTTGAACCACTGTTGCAACTTTTGGTACGTCTGCTTCATGTTTTCCTCGTACTTTCGGAACCTGGCAATCAGCTCTTCCGCAGTGCTGTCGTCCCCAAACGAGGCAGCCGTCTGGTTCTGCACGTTGGATTTGTACTTCCTCATGGCGGTGATGAGCTTATCGCTCATTTCGCTGGTTGCTTTCAGCTGTTCGTAGGACTTTTGGATGTCCTTGAACACGGCGGAGGAGACTGCCGTCGGTGGGACGGCGGTCGGACGCACAAACGAGTGCTGGTGCTTGGGGGACGTTCGCTTCGGATGAACCGGTTCCGTGGCCACCGGTAGTATATCCTGCGGGTTCACCGTTGTCTGGTGGTTTTCATTCCGAACGACGAGGTCACTTTCGTAGGATGGCAGCTGGTCCTTGGAGCGGGAGTAATAGAACGTTTTCGGGAGGATGTTTTCGTTTTGAACCCGCCACGGCGAAGAAGAGGCCTGCGGGGAGAAGTCTGGTGTGGAGGAATGCGGCTGCGCTTTGTCCGGAGTGTTGACCGTGGGAGGTGGCTGCCGTTGCAAGACTCGTTGTATTTGGGGGTTCAATCGGGGCGGTGAGAGCGGGGTTGGGAGTTCCACTGTGGGGATGTTTTCCTCGTCGAAGTCGTGGTGTCCTTCGTCTTCGTAGTCATGATGGTGATCGTCGGCGACTGCCATGTCATGGGTAGATACGGCCGGTGAAGGGCTCCGTGGAGCAATGTTCAGGGCGTTGGATGGCTGCAGCGATTGCACCATGGCGGCCAGGGTTGATGTGTGCTGAAGCGAAAAAAAAAATAATGCAAGTAGCAGAATTAGGGATTGTGAAGTTTTGACGTACACTGCAGGAAATCATGATGTTATTTCTGGGGGAAGTTTCTGGTTGCATGTTCCGTTCCGGAAAACCAGTGAATTACTTCGGACAATTGGAACAAAATGTTTGCCTGTTGACCTGGGATTGAGACGAAGGTCACCTGGAATTTCCTCGTTACTGAAGTAACGATGCCAATAGTCGGAGCTGATTTTGTCCCACCGTACCCTACGTTTAAAATTCAACGTAGGGTATGGTGACAATTGCCCTTGAGTTCAATCTTACTCACCACAACGTTCCTGTTCGCCGACGTTCCTCCGTCTTCCGCCATCCGTTGAACCAGTCCTCCGCCGATCTTCTTCACCACGCTGCAAATCTTTCCCATGTCCGTTCCGAACACGGTCGTATGGTGCTTGACCGGAGTCTTCCTACTGCGGGACGACACACTCGTTGCCAGTCGTGGTCGTTTCTTCGCGGTCGATCCCTTGGTCTTCTTGGTGTCATCACTACTGGAGGCCGTCGTCGTCGTCGTCGAGTCCTGGCTAGGTAAGTCGAACATGTACACATCCTCCCCGGGCGGCAAGGGAATCGCATCCGGCCGGGGTAGAACGCTTCGGTTCAGCTGGAGAACCTGCTCGGCGTACCGTCGATAGATTGGAACGTGATCGGTGGTATGGTTTGGATTGGCGGGAGGTGGTGAAAGGATACCACGGGGAACGGATTTGGATCGGGAGGGGGTTCCGCCGGCTTTCGGTGAGCCGGGCTTGGCGGTAAGCGTCCGGGTGCGGGATCTTGCTCTGCTCCGAGATTTGGGCTTGGTGATTTCGGTTCGAAGGACGGATTTACTCCTATGACGGGTCATGATGGGCTCAAACGGGGCAATCTTTGCAGATTCGGAGATGGCTCGCTTGCGAGAACGACCGCGGGTTTCTGCTGATTTTTCCGGTTCATGCGTGGTGAGGTTTATTTGCTCCGGCGCGGTTTGTCTTGATCGCGTTCGGCCGCGATTTTCCGTGGATTTTTTGGGTTCTTGAGTGGGTTGTCTTGCTCGCGAGACGGATCGGGTTCGAGCACGTTTCATAGTTGGTTCCGATTCCGAAGCGGATGCTTCATGTACATTTTCCCCAGGATTTACCGATTCTTTCGGCACCTCAGGAGCTTTATCGGGAATAGGTTTGGGCCGCTTTCGTTTGGAAACGTTTGAAAATTGAGAATTGTCCAAAGGATTGGATTTACTCTGATCGGATAAAGAATCCAGGCGAGACGTAGCAGAGTTAGCGACACTTTCGTCCGCTTCTAATTGTTCCTTCGATGTGGAAGATACGTTCTGGTTGGCATCTACGATGGATGTCTCTTCCGGTGTTCGTTGCTCGCGATTCGATTCCCTTCGCTTTCTGCGGGTAACTAATGAAACAAGCGGAGTTTTCTCATTCGGTTGAGCTTCTTTGCCGTGTTCTCGCACGGGAAGTTCTTCAGCGACTTCTGAAGTTGGTTGTTTTTGTTTTCTTTTGCGTCCTCTCTTATTTTGAGTGGATGCTTGCTTGTTATCATCCTTTTCCTTCGAAGGTTTATCCGGTTGAGTTTTGCTTGGATACCTAGTTTTGGTTCGAGCTGGTGACCACCTTTTTCCTTTCTTCAACATGGACCTCGTCTGTATCACTAGTTCCTTGACAAACGGCTTCGGATTACCTGCTACGCTTCCAGTGCCCGAAGAATTTTGTTGCTCTTCTGAGATTTGTGATAGGTCCATTCCCTGTCCCGCATGCCTCTCACCGAGGGGACTGTTGCTTCGAACCATTTCCTCTCGTGACGAGTTTCTGACAACCGACCGACCTCGCCGTCGATTTCGTTTCGTAACCATCGAAAATATTGAACTCCGACGGATCCCATCAGCATCTTGCTCCACACCGACCGGAGCCAACGATTTGCTTCTGGTCCACCGGGGCAAAACCGACGATTTGGCTCGCTCGTGCTCGATCATCGTCGTCTGGTCTACGTTGATGATGCTCATGTTTGTTCCGTTCGAGGTGAACGATTTGCTCTTCCAGCTTTGCATGCTATTTCCTAAAAAAAAAAAAAAAAACAAAACAATAACTATGACGCATCATTCCACAACAGTTGTCACCCAAGTTCCGGATCACTCACCCGTCTCATCCAGTATCATATCCACATCGGTCAACCGAGTCGATGGCCGACGTGATCTACGATCCCCATCCATACTCGCCATCAGCTCGGACGATTCGTCCTGGCTGCCAGCCACCGGTATCAGCGTATTTTCCACACTGGAATGCATAACCACGGACGATTCCTCCGTCAACTGTCCCATTCGCTGCCGTTGGGGTGATCTTCCACGGCGCCGATTGTTGTTGACAAATGCCATCGGCAGCTGTGTATCCCGTCTACGGGCACCACGATGTCCACTTTTGATTGGCATCTTTTCTTTTATCTCCGTACTGCTGAAATTCAATTCCCAAAAAAAAATCCTACATCAATTTCATGCAACGTAACGAAAGTAAACAACGACGTCATCGCCCCGAAGGAGCGCCATTTTTGAAATTTGAACATAACCTCAATGCCTGTGCTTTCCCCTCTCTTCTCACGGTAAACTTACCAACTGATGGAAACACAAAGTAAAAAAGTAGAAATTTCACAAATACACTTCACTGTTCATCGAAACTTTAGTAAATTCACGAACTACTCGATACAATCCCGAAAATTCTGCAAGTTTCCGCGCATTTCGATTCCAGTTTTACCAGATTTTTCACAAAAACAATTTCCAACGTAAAATAACTGCAAGCGGGTCTTGTTTTCGGTTGTTCGTTTGTTGTTTGCTTCGATCCAGAGCTGCCAGGTGGTTTTATAAAAAATCTGTATTCACTCTATTAAAAAATCTGTATTTTCTGTATTGACGATTTTTTTCTTAACTAATCATGTTTTGTTGTTTTACAAATACAGTGCATACAAAATAACCATAAAAAGTGCTTAACCACCTATTCGGGCTATCGTACTAACCATACGGGGTATAATTGCGCCATTTGTGATATCGTCCGTACTTATTTATAAGAGTGATATGAAGCCGTTTGAAAATGTATGGAGATTTTAGTTTCTATTCATTATCTTCCTGATAAGCAGTTTTAAATGCAAAAAAGTGCACGAGTTCATTACTATTTGATATTTTTAATATAGATGAATACAATTAATTACATCATTTGTGTGGTAGTTACACCGAAAAGTCGAGAGATGTCGCCCCGCCAGTGCTGGTAAAATCATTTTTGCAGTATGGAGAATATCAGAAAATCCGCAATTTCTCACGAAATACATTTTCAATGCGAAACTACCGTGACGGGCGTGACTGCGTTTTCCGTTGGAGGGAGTGAGAGAAGCATAAAAGAAACAGCAACGCCTCGAGCAGATCTCACTGCAAAAAATATGGTTTTTAGCACAACAATTAATTTTGGAGAGAAGGGGGTACGCTGATAAAATCGAGCAAGTTATTTTGTTTTTATAAATTTTGAATTTTTTTTTCTCAAGCATTTTATAAAAATCTGTATAAATCTGTATTGTAATTTAAAAATCTGTGATAAATCTGTATTCTGTATCGGGTCTGTATTAAGATTAAAAAATCTGTATAATACAGATAAATCTGTATAAATGGCAGCGCTGCTTCGATCGTTCGCAAGATTTTCCGAACTTTCTCGTTTCTCGAAGAGAGAAGAGAGAGAGAGAGCGATATGTTGACGTGAAGCGTCGCGTTTGTGCTACGAGGCGGCCATCTGGCGGTAAGTAGCCGAGTAATGCGTACAATCACGCTAAAAGTAGTTTATTTGATTTGGTAGAAAACCATGCAGTTTTAAAATTTTGTTAAAATGAAATTCATGAAATTTTCGCTAGAGTGGGGTTGTTAATGACGTTACGTTTAAATTGAAGACGTTAACGTCATTAAAAACCCTGGCCACGAGACACACACACACACACGCTATGAACTCTGTAACTCAGGGTTACTTCCACCACAAACGAAGTGCACTTAGTTGATATAAAAATTTGTTTTTCGGAATTATGAAATCATTAGATGTTAAAATCACTAAAATGATAATTAGTACTTGCGAGTTAAAAGAAGAGGTTGTAAAGTATGTGTTTGACTCAAAAAACCTGCCAATTTCACTTTCAGAGCGTCGCAATAAGCGAATTTATGATTCGTAAGCGTTCACTCAGTGTGAGCGCTCACAAATCGAAAAGCTCTTATTAAATAAATGAGACTACAGGCAGGTTACGAAGCGGAATCACGTCATTCGGAGGAATAAAGCACCAATGAGAAAAAAAACACGAAAAAATCGGAGACGCAGCGTCGTTGCGAATCGTTTATTGACATTAATAAAGTTCAAATAGTATCGGAAACAAGGTTGTATTTAGGCTCTGAACCATTTGGTGGATTATTTTAACTTTTGGTTAAAATTTAACAGATGGAAAGTTATCGATTAACCCTGCTATCCGAGCGTGGTTACTTCTGACGGACAAGAAGTTAAATTTTGACAACCTTGGCTAAGTTTTTCTCGGAAACCGGTCGATCGACAGCACAGGGATTTTCGAACATAGAAAATAACTTTCGAAATGTGACTTTTAACCATACGAGTTAAATTTAATTCGGCAAATAATAGAGATTGCTGACCTAGGGGAAGTACAACTTGATATGAAGTAATATTTGGTGTAAAAATTGCTCATATTGGTAGTTATTATAGTTTTTAGTATAAATATTAATGATATTAACTGTCAAGTGGAAAGCTACAAAGTAAAAAAAAAAAAATAACAGTATAGCTTTAACGCATACACTCAATCAAGAGCAAATTTTCATTACGTCGAATGTAACAAAGGTAAACAAAGTCGAGCTATCAGTGTCAATCGATTCTCCTGCTATTACACTATATACTGTCCGAATACCAGTCGAATTGCTTTTTGACGTAATCACCTTCCGATCAAAATAGTTTTCGATGTTACTTAAGTCATCCGATTTCTATGGAGATGCCGTTTGCCTTAAGTAACAGCACTGAGAAACCCGTGAAAAGTGTACTTTCGTCGTTTCGCTTTCTCATTATTAAAGTGAATAAATCCAACTGTTTGTTGCTAAGATGATTTCGGTGGTCCTAAAATGATGAATGGGCTGCACGTAAGGAGACGTAATTGATAATTCTCCCGAATATCCTGGTAAATACACTTTGACTTAAGTAACAATAGGGGCCACCAAACGACGTATAATAACTTTTGACTCAAAAACCTGTATTTTTTAGCATGAAAGCTAGCGATTTGCATTTGTATGATTAAAACCCTGCTAAATATGTTAAACATTGCTATCACTATGAGATTATATGTGTTTACTTGGAAATAGGAATAACTTTTCGGTCATCAAAACAAAACTTTATTTTTCTCGGATTGGTGCGAATGTTACTTACGACATAATGAAAATTTGCTCTTGCAATGACCTTTCACCGTTGTTGTTTATGTTACCTGCAGCTTTCTGTTTCATCATTTTTGCCTAAATTTTTGTTTTCGATAGCTCTGATCGTTTTCGGCTTCGGCTTTTTTGATGATAAAAACGGCACTGGACTAGGCAAGTTCCCCCAGCAGCAAATTTCTCCAAATTGCAGGCTCATGGCGAATGTATTACGACCACGGAACCATCGTTATGGGACTCCGTTTACAGGGGTACCGTAGTCAATCGATTCCCGTTCCATCGGAGGACAGAACATTGGATTGCAGACGATGAAGAATTCGTGGAAATTAATGACTATTTCCTGGGAACGGAAGTGCGCCAAAGAATGCCAAATTTATGAGAACAAGGAGCGGATTTTGGTGGCCCTGGCCAGCAAGATCATCAACACGGTAATCAGCGTAAACATATTAATGTGTAAAATTTCACACATTTCGTGATTTATGTGTAAACCCAGCAAACGTCAAAAGAAGTGTATTTTTTACACATTTTTCAAGCATGGTTTTTATTGCAAAATGTGTAAAAAGGAACCATTTCTAGGACTTGAATATAATGGAGACGCATGGTTTTTTTTTTAAATTTCGGGGTTTTCTTATTTGTGTCAATGATAAAATAAAGATTTCTCAGATTCAATACTATTTTATTAAAAAAAAAGAAGAAATAACATCAACAAAAATCAGTTATAAAAGCGTAAATAATAAATGAAAAATTAAATATCATTGTCTGAGTCACTCTGTTCAGCAATTAATGATTCAGAAAAAGATGCCACAAGTTTGTTCACAGCTACTGCAGTGCTGTGGGACTTTGTTTTATATAGAAGGATTTCAAAAAAATCAATAAATTTCTTCATAGAAGAAGGAACTTTCATTCCGAAAACAGAAAATACTTTAATCAGCGCATCGAGCGCCTGGAGCGATGATTTTCCGCAGTCGATTAATTCTCCTTGTAGATACACGTAGTAATTTTCATTATTGGTAATAATATGAGGCTCATCTGTTTGCTCCATAATGTACCGGAATCCATCGAACTAGTGGTGCGGCAATCTGTTCATGAATTTGGAGGTTACCGACTCCAGTAAGATTTTTTAATCCTTTTTTCCCCAGAGCTACAAAAATTCTTTTGCATCCTCGTAAGGTATCTATGGCAGAATAATTAAGAAAAAAGTAGTAATTAAATAATAATATTAATAATAATAATAATAATAAAAATAATAATAATAATAATAATAATAATAATAATAATAATAATAATAATAATAACTGGAAAACCTACCATCATGGACGTCTGTGAACGTTTCATTTTCGATCATCAATCCTCTTGCAATTACATGCTTTAGGTTGGCCTCTTTATTATAACCCACATGCAGCCGCTCGTAGGCCTTTCGAATCTGTAAAATTTGTAAATTTAAAATCAATTATTAAATGCTACATATTTTCGAATCGAAACTATTACCATCGCTCCATTATAAAATTTGAGATGCGGAAAAACAGAAACGATTTCCCTTACGTTTCTTTTTTCGTGCAATATCATCAGATGTAAAGGGTGTCCACGATGAAATTGCCACACTATGAAATTGCTCTAACTTTTTAACCGTTGGGTAGAATTTAATGAAAATTTGGGTGGATTTAGTTCATAGTGCATTATTTACATCCTGCAAGTTTTAAAGTCCTGTGATCAAAACTCGCAGAAATGGAGTCGAAAGAACAGCTCGTGCGTGATAAAATCTTGCGCATTCATCACGAGAACAAGGATCTCTCGCATCGTTCCATCGCTAAAACGTTGGGAATCGCGAATTCCACGGTGTCGCGAGTGATTAAGCGGTTCGAGGAACGGTTGACCACCGATCGGAAGCCCAGAAGTGAAGGAAAAAGTATTCCGTACAACACCAAAAATCACAACCGCGTAGTTGGGGCCTTCAACCGAAATCCGAACGCCTCCGTTAGGGATGTGGCTAAGAAGCTGCACCTAAGTCGAAGTTTTGTCCAGAAGGCCAAAACTAAGGCTGGGCTTTGAACGTTCAAGGTACAAAAGGCCCCTAATCGCGACGAGAAGCAGAACAAGTCCGCCAAAACCCGTGCCAGGAAGTTGTACCTCAACATGCTGACGAAAGTTGAATGCTGCATCATGGACGACGAAACATATGTGAAGGCCGACTTCAAACAGATCCCCGGCAACCTGTTTTTCACGGCCAAGGATAAGTTCAGCGTTCCGGAGCATGTCCGCACTCAGAAGATGTCCAAATTTGCGAAGAAATTCCTGGTTTGGCAAGCCATCTGCACGTGCGGGAAGCGGAGTGCACCTTTCGTGACCCAGGACACGAT